TTGAAAAATTGGATTTTTCATATGTTTTACTATTGATCGACAAATTTCGGCCAATACTTTTTGGTAGTGAGTGTATGACCAGTTTTGAGGTATTGACCGACTTAGGTCTTATCGAGAAACTATATAGATTGGCCGACTTATCGAATATTTTAAATAGTGAAAAAAGGGGCTGAAGACATTTGGCCGAATTATCGAGAAACCGACTTATCGAGGTTGACTTGTATGGGGTCGTCTAAAGCGGCGGTATTACGGCCGATTTACCTATCACTAGAGGAATTTCGCTCATCTCATTCCAGGGATTACGCGGGCTTCATTAAACCTCGCCTTGATGCATATTCGAGGGAAGAATGATTACGATATGTTTACATATTGAGAAAAAGTATTGTTGAAAATGCCAATCCAATTACTAGATAATTGTCTTCTGAACCAATATCCATTTATCTTATGCTATTCTCCAATCATTTTAAATGCTTCCCATCGGGAAGGGAAAGCTTGATTATGATTTATTTTTTCCACTTACTTATTTGATCTGGAATCAATTCTCATGTAAAATCTGTTAGGCGACCGAGGTGAGGACAATTACGGTCATTGTTGTTCTTGCTAACGTATGCTTTTGGAAAAGAAGCCCTGACAAAGAGATTTCAATCCAACTTATTTACTAATTAATTCACAGATATACACACAAGCAAACTGCATATACAGTGTATACGTACTCTGGTGATAAATCTCTGTTGAGATAAGAAAGATTCCCACCTGCTACTGACAAAAATTCTGCCTTTCTAGACCTATCTAAGATGCCATCCAATCTTGATGGAAGGGAATCAGCTAATACTAAGGCAGTACCTGAAGAAATCATTAGAACAAAATTTAGAGCAGATACAGAAGAAGAGGAGGCTAATGAATTTATCAACTGTAGAGCTCTGGATCTACAAAATTACAGTATTAAGTATCCCATCATCCCACCTAAAGGCAAGCTACCACCAACTATCCTCCTCAAACTTGATCACAGACCTATTACAGTCAGACCTCCTTACAGTCACACCCCATACAGTCACAACTCTATATAAGAACGCTAATTTTTGAAACGGACTT